TGTGTGTGTGCACATTTTCATATTGATACACAAACACGTGTATATAAATACACACACACACACACATACATATACACACACACATATATATATATATATATAGAATTAAATATAGATATAGATACAGGTATAGATATAGAAATACCAGAAATAGGGGAGGCGATTACTGCTATACTTTTACTGAGATATCGCAATATATATATCTTTATGTATCTACACCTATCTTAGTATAGTCGATTAAGTAGATTTCATTCCCACGATATATCATTGCAGCCTACTTCCATCATAGTTCACTGATGTTCATATTATTTCGGACCCTGTTTATACACCAAGATCGGGTGTGCAGAATATACCATGTCGAAGGTTAAGGATAGGTATACAAGTCTTAAATGTAGCATTATCGGCTCTATCTGCCAGCACGGTGACTCCATTCGCGGATGGATCTTCATCATACTATACTTATGGTTTTGTTGTTTACGACATAGAGCAATGCAGTGGAAGTAAGTGAAACAAGTGGGGCGTCCGCCGCGGCGAAAAAGAAAAAGAGGAAGAGAAAAAAGAAAAAGGTAAGGTATCATATTTGCTGCGCCGTTGATTCATTCTCTATGGCTTGTTGTAGGATCTTTGTTTCCAGTGCCTTGCTGTTCCCTTAAGGGTGTTCAGTATTTGTCGTTATTCGCACAGCACCAGGTGTTAAAAACTACTGATATCCGAATACCATAGTTTGTTCAACGTCACTTTGCAAGAAACCGTGTGTCCACTATGCTGAGGAATTCGAACCTACTAAACGTTACATCTTTCGTGGCCCACAGGCAGTAGCGGCTGATGTGTCGAACGCAGATGTAAGCACAGAAACAGCTGTGGAGGGTAGTACAAACAACGACACAGAAATAGAAGCGGCAGCCAAGGCCGGAAAGAATAAGCTAAAGGACATGAATGGTGTAGACAATCACATAGCCCAACACGAACACGAAATCACCAAGCAGACCAACGAGGCACTCACAGAGCACATGCAGGAATCGCTCCAAAAGTCAGAGACGCCACGGAACCAGTTGGACAATGTTAGCAAAGAAGTCGAGAGCTCGAAGGAAGCTCTTGCAAGCACCAAAGCCGAACTAGAAAGTGCAAATACAAAGATCAAGGCCACCAAAACAGAGTTAGAGGACGCGCGTAAAGAAGCAAAGGCCACGAAGGAGGCGCATGAGCAAACCCAGTCAGAGCTTGAGAGCGCCAAGGAAGAAGTGAAGGCTATAAGGGACGCACATGCGCAAACTCAGGCCGAGCTGGAGAGTGCGAATGCGGTCAAGGCCTCGTTGCAGAAAAAATTGAACGATTCCAGTGCACAGATTGATAGCCTCAACTCGGAAGTTATGCAATTGAAAGACAAGATGAGCAAGCTCGAGCTAGCGAAGGGCAACCTCGAACAACTCGCAGCTAAGATCGAGGACTCTAAGGAGCTGTCAGCTTTGGGTCAAACGCAGGCGGTTGCGATGGAGCGCGAATTGTCGAAAATTGACGCCCTGAAAGCGGATTTGGAGAATCTACAAAGGAGTGATGAAGAGAAGCAGTCTGAGATTATCAGACTGATGGCGCAGCTTCAGAGTAGGTCTATGTGTGAGGTAGCGGTGATTTGGGCTTATTGAGCATTTGGTGTTGTTTTTTTCCTTCTTGTTGACATTTGAGTATGGCCGAGTGCATGCACAGTTTATTCTATTGACTCAACACATGTGCGACTAACACTTATGTTGATAGTCGGCCATAGTGTATGTGGTTATTTACCATTGTGTGAGGATAACATTTTGATCCACTTACACGTGTGTCTGCATCTCGGCATATAACACAATTGCTTATATATCAATGTGTCTGTCTCGGAAAAAAGCTCGTCGTATGCAGTTCATTGTTGCAGGAAGGGTTTGAGGCAGTGATCAGGTACTTACACATTAATTCTCACCTAAAGTGATGTTTAACGGCCTGCGAGATGCAATCTGATCATAAATTAGGTCAAACTCAATGTCATATAATATCGAACTTTACAAAGGGAGTTGAAGGATATAGTTCCCCCTCAGCCACGAATGTTACTTAATAGGTCAGCTATGATCCTACTTTGAGCTCCGCAATAGTTGTATTAAAATGATGAAAAATGAGAAGTACAAGTCTTGTGCCTGGTATAGAGCCAAACCGTACTTACGCCAAGCTAATTGCAAATATACGCCTACCGATTTGGGATCTATCACCAGAAACCCGCTGATATGGATTTAGCAAACGTTTACATTTAGATTTTATACCAGTGTGTCATGATACTCTTGCTAGCGATCGATGTATGACACTGCATTTTAACTCGCCCCTGTAGCAACCGAGGCAGACGCGATGCGACTAAGGAATACTCTGGTTAAGTCTCAGGCCACGGCTGAGGAGGCTGAGAAGCTTCTGTTGGATGCAAGAGGCGAGGAATCGGTAGGTTAAATCAGACGTCCATAAATGGAATGTGTTTGTGCCTGATACCACTCTAGTGGAGTTTACAATGCTGTTCGTTTGCTATTATGGTCGCGCGATCTTATCAAAGTGATGCACAGATTCCGTTTATGATGATCTTTTGTTTCTCGCACGCTATGAATGGACTTAATGTTTAACTCGCTTATTTCGCCTTGCGGCGTGTTGGAACTACAGACACACGACGTCAGCATAGAGAACGAAAGTCGATTGGCCAGGATGGAGGCGAAATGTGCGGCCGCGATAGCCGAGTTGGTATGTTGGTGACAAAGTCAGATCTTCTCATGGCGGGTGTTTTTGTTGAAATACAAGAGGTGCTCGATCGGAGGTGCTCGATTGAAACGTATCTGGACATGTAAAGCACAACCATAGAGAATGTTGTGTCCCGTAAAGGACATCGGTTGTACTTGAGATGCAGATAAATATATCATCTTGGGAGGTTCAGTCTGTATTTGTGGACACAAACACACACACTCATATATATATATATATATATATATATGTGTGTGTGTGTACATATATATGTATCTATATTTATATATATATATATATATATAATACATATACTTATAAATATATATATATACTCATACTTGTATTAATTTAACTGTATACGGGACTTTTGCCATACATATTAATAATTTTATACACTAACAGGCCGCTGTCAAAGCGAAGAGGGACGATTTTCGACGCCAATTATCAAATCTGGAACAATCCACTACCGTCAACGGTATCCTGAAAGGATTTGTAAGTGAATAGACACCAAAACATTGCACGCACAATCATACCCGCCGGTATTTGGCAATTGTCGTTGGCTCAAATCGATTCATGAGCCGAGACTGAATTACTGGCCCATACCAATGCGCTTTTAGAAACACACACATGTGAGACTGTCTCCTGCGTGGCAATTTACCAGTCATTATACTTAAATGTTCCTATCAAAACAAGCGAGTTTGTTATAATGCTCTCTCACTTACGAGTATATACAGGTATACCTCTCGGCCTGGTAGCTAGTGATTATATAGACGTCTCTGTGGACCGATACGCAGTCACATACAAATACATATAAGACTCTCTCCCCTACCAACACACACAGGAACAACCCGTGGTATGGCAACTAGCTAGCTATTGTATGGAACCAACATGCAAGAATGCCTTCACCTGGATCAGACGACGCCACCACTGCCGCGAGTGCGGGCGCAGTGTGTGCAGTACTCATAGCACAGTGTAAGTGTACACTAGCTTGTGTGATGATAAAGTATTGCTCGATATGTTACGTAGTGTCGGTCGCGAGTGCAAGTAGTATTGATCGTGATTACAAGTAGTTTCGGTCGTGATTGTAGGTAGTACTGGTCGTGATTGCGGCTAGTTTTGCTCGTCGTTTCCATAGCAGCATCATTGTCGAGATAGTGATAAACAATGGGTGCCAGTGTTTAAAGCCAAACCTTGCGTGCTTGATACACATTTTCAGCTATTTAATAGCCCTTGCGTCCATACTGTATGCGCTAGTACCGGAATTGTATGTTCTGCTTACACATTTGAATGTGTCAAGTATGTTCGAGAGTTACCTGCACTTTGATTCTGTTGTGAGTGATGCATGTTTAGTCTTCATATTCCTCACTATCCTCATTCCTGTTCCATTTTACATATTTTACTTCGTTCCAGGCGTCGCGGTGGAGTCGGATCGGTGAGAATATGTACCATGTGCCTACGATCGTAGAATTACGAGCCAAATCACTACATAAATGTGCTCAAACATCAGTCGTTCGCAGACTGCTTGTGGAATACGCACCCCTACTCTGCTTGGTGATCTCAGGACTGGGGCAACTTAGGCAACTACAGTCGTTATCATCTCAGTGTAGCAATGTTAGAAATGCCACAGAGATACTCTTAGTGGACAATTATACCCAGCTTGGTACCGCTCGGCGGCAGGTGAGAAATAGGAAGGCAACTGTACATGTGTACATATCTAGAGGGGTTTAGATGTGATTAAAGTATTTGAGCTCGCATGTCGCCCGGAAATGTATGGGTAACCACACTGCAATCACACGGGTTCCGTACACTGGAAGTTTTGACATATACATCATTGAGGATATCGATAATCTGGCACAAATGAGTATTTCAGAGGAGACAGACGTGTGTAAAATGCATTGAGTGCTGATCATGCTCTGCCTGACAGCCAGATTTGTTGTGCCATCACCGGCTGACACGCGCTAGTCCGGCAGTGTGTCTTGCGCACTACAATCAGTCGTTAGTTTCTATACAGTATTTCTCGGTACTGCAATTAGCCTTTGAGCTAGCAAGCGTCTAATTAGCCATTGAGCTAGCAAGCGTCTAATTAGCCATTGAGCTACCCACCGACCGATTAGGACCCAGTTTCAGAGCGCTTGGTCAGCAGAAGATGAAGCCCATGTCATCAAGGTCAGAACTTTTTTTGTAATGAACAGAATACTTTGCAGTATAGCAGCGAATGTGTTTTCCTCCTTAGAAGAAACGTACTCGAATTCGGAAACGGCATGGATTGCCACGAAAATACATCTAATTCATGATTAAAATAAGTCGCAGACGACTTTCGCTCTTGGGAAAGGCTAGTTTATTGTTATAACACGCCCTCACAGCCTGTATGCACTTAGCGAAGCCATCCTCATGACTAACAAACAGCTAGACTCCCAATGGACCAATGCGGCAGTGCCTTGCTCGCACCCTTCCAGCTATAGAGCGAAGTGCACCACACGCGTCGAATGTACATCAAGATAAACTACCGTTACATTTGAGCAGAAGAAAAGCCTTGGAAGCAGAGGGTGTGCACTCTGATGTTTGACTATAGATCATTTCGTAGTTTACCCACTGAGAATTCACACTCTTGTCTGCCGAATGAAATTCTGCTTGCAAGCTGTCAACTCTTATCCCATACTGGTCCGCTCAAAGCAAAATTCGCCGAACTTTATCAAGAACCCTCGAGATTGTGGCGACATATCACACAGAAGACTCGCTCAAATAGGCGTCTGTCAGTTTATAGCCCTTGCAATCTTACGATCGTCCTCTAGCTGGCAAAGATGAAAACAGCCTACCCTTGTGTGTGCTGTAATTCTCCCTACAGTCCGAGCATTGTCTTTTCATAAGGGTCAGAGTACCATGATCAAGAGTGTTGATCTCAGGCAGAGGCAAATGATATTTGAAGTATTTCTCTGTTGACACCCTCAGAGCTCTGGTACACCGTTTCGGATTTCAATTCGGGGTCGGATGCGACCAGCGACTGGAATGCAGTCATGCTCCCGCCTACTCCGAAGTAATAAGATTTTGCCGCTACCAGCGCAACTCCCCTGGGATAGGCCATGGAATCTACAGTACAGACAAGCACAGGATATTGACATGCGTTAATATAGGAATTTGGATTGGATATGAATATAAACTGAATGTACCACATTAAATACAGTAGATCGGAGCAGGAGTTATCTATATACTGTAACCAGTATATGGCAGGGCATCAGAAGTACACGACAGAGCACAAAATGGGGTGATTGCGACCATCTTGGATATTGACACCCGGCCCACACACATGACCGTCCATCGGCAAAATCAAAAAGTAACACATATTGTACACGACCATTCCATTTTGCAACATGAATATTATACGCACCTTTGATAGTCGCCAGAAGGACTTTGTTCAGGGAGGGCTCGTAAATGGTTTCTGAGGTCAGCACGATATCATACTTAAGCTCCGGTGCCTTATTTGGATTATTCAATTGCACAAACCCGGACCAATCCCCCGAGTAGAAACTCGATCGTTGTGCCAATGCACTCGGATGCACTTCCTCATTCAAAGACTTGCCGCTAACAGGTGCGTTTAATACGACATTGGGTATAGTCACGTGAGTAAGCACCTCCTCGTTGTAGTCCTGAAAGTCCACCCTAGAAGCGGACGTGCAGGAGATCATGTACACGCCAGGCAGACCACTGCCACAGCCCAGCTCAAGAACTCGAGTACTGGACATGTCCACGCCTTTGCTCATCTGAGACAAACGAGAGGTCATATCAATTCGACGCAGAAGTGAACGAGTTTTATTTCGGTACACCACTGAGTAAGATTGCACTCTAAGCCAGGAACCAGGACATTGTGATACAGACAGTCAAAAGAAAGGTAATATTGTAGGGCCATTTATCAGACACACTCTATAACTAACTACAAACAACTCGCAATCGACAACGAGGCAGATACATCATGCGAAATGAGTTCGGTCTGACCATACCTGTGCCAAAAGCATTAAGAGGTCGAGCGAGCACTCCCAGGTCTTCAAGCCACCTTCGTAAACACCCGGAATAAGATCTGTATTGTTGCTAAGGGCTGTTTTGATGTCTTGAGACCCTGTGGTCGCCAATTCATAAGTCGTGTTCTCTAAGACTTTCTTGTATAAGTTGATTTCTCCCAGAGTTAATAGCTCGCACGGTATCTCATTCTTGCGAATCGGCTGCGTCAGCTCAAGCAAGCAGGCTGAAAAATTAAAGAATGCCCAATGTAATACTCAGTGTTCAGGTCAGGGTGGACAAGAGTTGTGCATCATCAAGAAGGACACGGTAATAGTCATGTCTTGTAACAGTAGTTCTGCAGCAATGCTGTATGGCTTCATATAGCCATTGCACGACAGTATGCTAAAACCTTCATGACGAATTTTCTCGGATGTTTGAGAATATATATCATACAGATAGAAACACGAATTGCCTGATGAAAATATGGCAGGATAATTAAGTGAAGATCCACATTTGAAGTAAAATTTGCACATGCACGTTTGCGCGAATCATCCGACTCCAAGAGTTCCAAACAAGTAACTCGTCACATAGACAAAAAGGTACACGATGTACTTTCATATATATATATATGCACATGTCTAAGTGTATATAAATACAACCTTCTATATTCATACAATATATACGAAGATGAGTTTCCACGCGTGAAGTTCAAACTTTGTGAAACAAACATTGAAAGGTGAAAAGTATTTGCAAGTACAAAATATGTACCTACATGTACCCATATACACACACATATATATATATATATATATATATACATATACATATAAATATATATACATGTATATAT